TGTTTTGTCCTATGTCCAGAAAGAACACAATTTTGTCCAAAATATATAAGGTTTTGAATCAAATGTTTAATAATTTTATAAAGAATATCAAAAAGCCTAAGGAACGCAAAATGCAAAACCCTAATTCAAAGGCTAGAACAGAGGGCATTTATACTCAAATGAAACAAAACGGGACAAGAATCAGAACTTTGCATTCCCTAAAAGAATTAACTATGAAACTGAAAGTTTATATGATTCACTACTACTTCTTTCCCCTAACAGTGAAAATTTCAAAATTTCTATCATAACATTAGCCTTGACTAGAATTCTATCTGGCAGTTCAGTCAAAAAATTTGAATGGAATCATAGAATGAATTCACATATTTTGGTTCAATGATCTTATACATCATAAAGTGTTTTAAGACATGTTTATTTTAGCCTTGTTCTCTTAGGAGTTGGGGATCACACCTGCCTTGCATAGCCTTTGTTTACGAAATAAGAGAAAAGTTACAGTTTAAAAGCAACGATAGAAGAAATGCACTTGTACAGATAAATAACAGTAAACATTTGTTTCTCACGCATGCACAGATAAAAAAATTGTTCTTCTTGCACATGAGCAGATCAATAATTGTTTTGTTTCTTGCAATGTAGACATGCACCAAATCAACATTCTCTCCAGGCCACAATAGAAGTCAAGTACCAAAAATTTGATAAAGTTAAATTAATCCGTTAGCACACACGCTAGGGTAAAATCCACCCCACGTGTAGTCTTTTCTTAGAAAATAAGGGAAGGTCATACGTGACCTTTCTAGTACTTCATGTACCTTTCAAGATCAAGGTTAGGAAGCAGTCGCCCAGAGGAATTTTTCTCCGTGTTCTTGGGGAAGGAATGTGCAATGGGATTGTAGCTACCTCACGCGTGTACTAATGTTTCACTTCTAGAGAGACATTCAGTGAGATGAGTGCGTACGATCGAGAACAGTAACGACTGCGGGTTCTTCTCGCTAGTGTTAAAACTGATAGCGAAATTGAAGATTCCGATTCTAAGGGCGATAATATTTCTGAAAGTGCTCACGAAACTGATTCTGACCATAATATGATGATTCATGTGATTTAGGGAGTATATCTTCTTTGACATCAGATAATTTTTATGTTTGAAAAGATGGAACAATTTGAAGTAAAAAAATTATCCTCGAAAAACGTACGGACACAGCCGCACAATATAGTGACACATTTACCTGGTGTAAAGAAAAGCTTTAGAAATTTGAAAAATCTAACTGAGTGTTTATTGCAAATTTTTGATGACGAAATAATGGAAGATTTGGTGAAATTAACAAACACATTTCATCAATAAAAAAAAAAAATTCTCTAGAGAACGTGATGCACAAGAGATAAACGTAGCTGAATTGAAGGCATTGTTTTTCATATTATATTACGCTAAAGTGTTGAGAGCAGAACTTCTCAAAGAAAAGATTTGCGGTCAGCTCACGGAAATGAAATGACTGTTTATCAAATAACAATGTCTATCAACCGATTCCACTTCCTGTTGAGGTCTATTAGGTTTGATGACATAAATTTACGAGCAGAGCGAAAGATGACGGCTCACTTATTAGAAATGCTTTTGAAATATTTATCAAAAACATATGAAAATTATATTCTTTACCTGAATATTGTACCACAGACAAAAGATTAGAACCTTTGGAGAAAGGTGTCAATTCAGACAAATATATAAAAAGTAAGCTCCCAAGATATAGAATAAAAACTTTTGCTTTGTGCGATTCTCATAAATTTACATACTACCTACAACCTACAATAAATACAACCTAGAAATTTATGCAGATCAGCAGCCTGTCGGACTATATAGACAATCAAATGTGGCATTGGATGTTGTACAAAAACTTATTGCACCCATAAGTGGCCCTGAAAAAAATATAACTATGGATAATTGGTACATGAGCATTCCTTTGGCCAATGCATTATTGAAAAAACACAAATTGACATGTTTTGGAACACTTCGAAAAGATAAGCATGAAATTCCAGAAAATGTTCTGTCAAATAAAACAGGCTTCTGTACTCTTCGTGTTTTGGGTTTAGAGGTAAAGAATTAACTCTTACTTCATATGTTGCAAAAAAGAGTAAATCGGTACTTGTTTTATCATCCATGAATGAAGATAATCAAATCGATTCATTGTCTAAAGAGCAGCTCAAGCTCGAAATGATAAAAACCTTTTGCAACTCTACAAAAGGTGATGTTTATACTGTTGATGAGTTATGTGGAACTTGGTCTGTTTCAAGAAAATGCCGCCGCTGGCCTCTAACGGTATTTTTCGGACTAATGAACATTGCAGGTATAAATGCTTTTATTATTCATCGATCAAATAACGACCAAGTGAATATGAACCGAAAAGCTTTTCTGAAATATTTAGCATTAGAGTTTGTAAAAAAACATGTCCTAAAAAGGGCTGCTATTCTCTCTCTCTCAAAAAATAACTCAAAACTGTGTTAAAAACTAAAAAGGTTGGCAGGAATAGAAAATGCAGCAGACCTTCACCCTAAAAAATTCTTTGTAAAAATATGTTGTCAAACTATGTGAGGATTGTTCAAAACAAGATTATTTGAATAATTAAACTCAGGTAGGAGAGGAGGGGCAGAAAACCTATGTGTTATTTATATTTTTTAATATTCGTATTTAGAATCTATTCTTTGATATGAGTAATTGTATGATATTATATTGAGTTTTAAGGGAAAAAACTAGTAAGAATGCAGCCTTTGCATATTCCTCTAGTGCTTTATCAAACCACTCTTTATAATAAACACTTATGTTTAAAAATATGTACATATGAAAGCTGAATTTTCGAATATAAGAAATCATATATGTATCTTATATAAGTTAGTAATTTTGCATAAATTTTGATTTTTATGGCTTACTTTACGTAACCAGTATGGAAATGTTTGTATAACTTAAAATAAGATTATCTTGAATTAAAACTGGAAAAAAGGTTTAACAGAATTCACAAAGCTATTAGTCATTTATACATCCATTTAAAACCAAAAAAAAAAAAAAGCATTTATTTATACGTTGGTGGTTGAACTCCGAAAAACAAACACTGGGGTAAAATTTGTCCCGCGCGTGTACTAACGTACTGCAGTGGTGCGCGTGTGCTGAAGGGTTAATAAGTTTAGCACATTATCAATGTTAATAGAGAATAATAAAACACACTAGATCATTTCACACATTGTTAATAAAACAATGCAAAATTTATTCTCGAGAATCCTTGCCTTTTCTATAATGGATCATAATGCTTTCTCTGGTCTGGCAAGAAGTTCAGAAACACTGGTACTATCATCACTTTTATACTTGGAAACCATTGAAACATAAATAAAAAATTTCTGAGTATGTAAGGTGCAACACAATGGCACTAACGAGAAGAGGAAGATTATTTAAAGCAGATATGAGAGAAATCTAATAGAAAAATCTGTGTATGCATGGAAAGAGTCCGATGTTTTGACCACTGATAGCCATGACCACTGAAGGTCATCTGCAAAAATTTTTAGAGTTGTCAAGGTGGAAATATTAATTAAGAAAACCACAGTCCTAAGGAAAGACCTCTAACCTGAGAATGTACATCAGGTTCCATTTGTAACCTTTTTCATAGTTCCCCCATCTAGTTACATCCATTAGAAAAGTATATACACATAATATAATCATGATTGCTGTGGGAATAAGACTAGCAGTTTTTCTAGTCTTTAGCACAAAAAAGCATACAAAATAACTATTATCAATACTAACTTAGACATTATTTATTATAAATACAAAAGAATAGCTTTATACTAAAGCTAGAAAAAGCTTTGAAATATATTTATATTTCTAAGTTTTTCTAAGCTATTTTGGGCAATTGCAACATATGAACAGAATACAATCAGGAGAACATGCTACTTCCAATTACTGGACGGAATCCATTTAGAAATTTACAATAACACAAAAATTTCTAAACATTAGTACTTTGTTTACAAACAACATATAATTTTTAAAAATGCAATATTTAAATACCTTAGGATTTTTCTAATATTTTAAAATGATTACAAACATAAATAATAAAAAGATACACTCAAAAGTCATTAATTCGGACACCCATAATCCGGAATGATCTATAATCCGGACCTCAAAGCTAAAAACTTTCTGCGCATGTGCCGCGTTGGAACATGCGCACAGGCGTTTTACGCGTACGCGTAAGACCTTGACTACTGCGCATATGCATGTGCGCAAGTGCAGAATACGTTTTCGCCTGCGCGTTTAATGTATAACAGACAGTGTAAGCTAAAATTATCTAATTCAGTTAATGTTAATGATTGCGTTGTTCCTTAATCTTCGAATTGGATCCCGCTTATTATTTTTTGCAGACTGTAAGAGCAATTTTATAAAAGTAAACTTGAACTTCCGATTATGTCAAATAGAATTTCCGATGCTGGAACTTCTAAAGGATCTACAAAACGAAAGTATGTTTCCATGTCCAACAAACAAAAAGTGGAATTGCTGCAAAAAATGGATAAAGACATGAAGAATGTGACAGAGAGGTTAGTGAAAACGAAAAAATTTCAATTGACAAGTTAGTCGGTATTCTCGGCACAGCAATTAACGGGACTTGAACAGCGAGACTTTGTAACTGAACAAGAAATTATGTCTGTTTATAGAATTAAAGAGGAAGTATTATCACATAAAATGAAGCAACTTAAACAACTTACATTGAAAGAAATGTTTAATAAAGTAAACAAATAAATATTAAGCTTTTTTTTTTTTTGTAAATTTTGATACCCTTTAGATCATAATTGTTCTTTATTTCATAAATTACGGTTTCATATTTTTAATTTTAGAATTTCTGCATGCCATCTTACGAGATTTAAACTGATGATCTATAATCCGGAAAAATCGATAATCCGGAATCGCCGAAGTCCCGACGAGTCCGGATTAACGACTTTTGACTGTACTATATAAATGAAAGAAACTGTGTTTTATGAATTACCTTCATGTGCATTTTGAGCTCCTCCTATTACTCCTTGCAGTTCTGCAGGCAAAGCTATAAATATTAATGAAAAATTTATATGAAATTATCGATTAGTTTTCCTCTAAGGAAAAACACTTAAATTATGCATTAAAACTGCTAATTTTTTTATTATGAAGTAGTAGAACAAGATTTTTGAAATACTGTTCTTATTAACAAAATAAAAATACTAATTATAACATAATTACTTAAGAAATATCCCACTTTTACCGCTTTTTCATTAGAGAAACTATAATTCTTTTAATAATGGGAAAAAGTATTTACATGTAAGAGCATGCCCTTTTTTCCCCAAACAAGTCTACAGAAAAATTATTTTATACATTTAAAACAAATGTATCAAAATGGTGATTAACAACTTGGCATATAATAATTAAGCTACCAGATAAAAAATGACATGTTTAAAATCTTTTTTAAAGATATTATTATCCAAATACTGAATCATTTGGATATAAAATACTTTAATACAAAACTGTAGATAAAAAAATGATTGTTTTATTTTTGCAGATTACCTCATGTTCCTTTGAAGAGCATCATTAATCTATATCAACTGATAAATTTCTTGCCAAATAGTGACAAGATATAATAGCTCTTTGTGACAAAAATTATGAAAAAGAAAACTGATCACTTATTTAAATAACAAAAGTATACATGCACAACTACATGTCCTTACATGCCGATTCATTATTTATGGTTTCCATCATACATAGTTTAAAGCAGCTGAAAATATTTTGAAAGTTAAAGATATACAGAATTCCTAACTTATATAATGTACACGAAATGAGAATGGACAAAACATGGTGAAACATAGTAACTTTAACAACACAGGTCTTTTCTACATATTCATACAAAATTCAGATAGAAGTTTTACTCATTGTAGAGCATTTTGGGAAGTATAATATTCGTTGCTTGGCCACTTCATGAAACTGTCAATTTTATACCACGATTATATTAAGATATCAAATTCTCATACTTTCACATATGTGAAAGATAAAGAAAAAAATATACCAGAATAGCATGGTGCATGCAAGACACTTTATTTAACAGTAATAATGTTGCTGTATACAAAATTTATTAACTAAATTTTACCATCTTATGTTAGTACTACACTAATATCATACTATAAACTGGTGTTAAAAATTAGGGAATTTTGACATTTGGTGAACTGTCTTAAGAATTGATATTAGAACCTCGGATTTTAATGAAATTTTAAGTGGACATACCTCAGTATATATATATATATATATATATATATATATATATATATAAGATAATCTGGAAACTGCAGACAAAAATATGCTTGCCCTTGGAATCAAGCGAAAAAAATCTAGTTAGCATATTGTTTTGTTTGTACTGAAATAATTTAACAAAAATAATAATAATAAAAAAAAAATCTGGTCTTATTTTATTAATTTACATAAGACACTATTCATTAAATTGAATATTTGTGTAATACAGAGTATTTTTCACCTTTTGTAAACATTTTTATATACATATTTGTATATCTTTTATTATTATTGAATTTTTATATAATTAGTCCAAAGGGATTTCAGTCCCGAAGGACTATTGCTTTCGTTTTGGCATTTTGCGTCGGACTCATAAACGTCGGTTCACTTTTCAAACTGTTGCCACAAAATGTTAGAGTCCTGCATTATATTTGAAGAAATTAAATAATGAAAAATCTGCATAAATGATTGTCTATTTCTCGCATTGTGATAAAACAATGGTACATAGAGCCATCGAATTTTGAATGACGAAATCCTACTGCGAATATGGGCATCTGAAATCCCAAATTTGGAATTTGTTTTATTATAGATTTTATATTTTGTAAAACTTTAACGAATTTTTGATTTACAAACTCAATGCTTTAAAAGCGAGAAATGGCAACGTTATATAGAAAAAAAATACTTTTATCTCCAGCTCGCGAGACTGTGTATATCGGAAATTCTAAAGATATGTTTAATTTAACATTATTTCGCGATATTGCTCTTGAACTGAATTTTATGGTTTAAGTGCAAAGAACATGATATTTAATAAATAAAGGTAACACTCAAAACGTTAAAAAAACGCCCCTTTGGACGTAATTTAAAATCTGAAAAATTTCAGATTTTTTCGTTTTTTTTTCCCTATTTTATTATTTAGCTATTTTTGCATTTATTAAATTTAACTAGTAATTACAGTAGTGAATAACATAGTGTATGGGAATTTGTGACAGGCATACGAGTTTGCTGATTTTAGCAAATTGTTACATAAAGATGATTAAAAAAATTTTTAAGATTACATATGCATGGCAGGACTAAACATAATGTCTGAGCAATTGGGTGGAGAGTGAGATAAGCTAATTCCCCCTGATGAGTTGGCATTGCCTCACTGAATTTTCAACTGCAAATTTTTGTAAAATTTTTATATAATTTGCATTTAAATTATACTTGCTTTACTACTACCACTAGCTATTTCTTGACAGATATTCTTCACTTCTCCATGTTCATTTTATTAATTCCCTTTAAATATATTTTTTTAATTATTGTATTTGAAACTGGTACCAAACTGCATGGTTGATTGGTGTAAAATGTTGACTTTGAATTGAAATTCCTAATTTTTGGCTAGATTTGCACTATTAATAGGAGTTACTTTCATTTCATTAATTTGATTATTAATTAAATCTTTGCAGCTAAGGTGCAGGATTCTAAGAGTAGACCTACTTTCCATTTTGATTATGTTATTACATATATAATATTTTGGTGACCTGAGTGGATGATTTTTTGGAAAGCAAGAATATTAATCAGATGGAATGTCAAGCTAGGTCTCCAGACCTAAACCCTATAGAACTTGTCCACACACTCTTGGAAAAGCAACTACACCTTTCCCTTTCTAGAATTCCAAAATTGTATTACTGCAGTATTGTGGCTGATTGCCACAGGGACTTTATTATTTCCAGTGCGAATTTATTATGAGTGCGATATGACTGTTACAGAAGTTATTGTTATAGATAATTATAACAATAAGTTATGCATACTTATTTATGCATGCCAATAAGTTATGCATTCTTATTTGCACCTTAAGATGCTGAAAAACTATTCTCAATGGTTATCTGAAGTGGCTCAGCTCACTTTAGATACTTGTACACAAGGTCCCTATGATACATGTATTTTAAACATTTGTAGATGTTTTCGAAGAATTTTAGAGTGCTCTTTTTATAGTAGAAGGGAAAAGAATAACATAACTACAACTGAAGTAGTTCAGTGTCTTAATATTACATTATATTTAAAGAAGGCAAATAATTTATTATGGCAATTGTTATGGACTACCTGAATAAATTTTTACTTACCTTTAAGAAAAACTATGAAAATGTTTATAACTCAATTCTTCCAACAGCAAATCAAAAACAATAATGGACTACAAATGAAATTGTCAGTGTTTAGTGATTTTTACTCAACTACAGGTTGTCTAATATTTCAGAAAGACATCGGCAATAGAAAGACAGAATGCCAATAATTTGACAAGACTTTTAATCTAAACAAGACAAGTGGAAAATAAGTACTACCATATACTTCTTGATTATCCTGACTAATGCCAGGGAAGCAGGTCATGGATAAGGGAAACATGAATCAAGTTTCATGCATATTGTATGTGTTTATTTCTTAAAAAATCCAGTAATTTTACTTTGTTTTTGAGAATGTTTCAAATTTTACTGCATATTTTTAGAAGAGTTATTTTATCACTGTACTCAAATCTCCTTTGATCGAAGAAGTCCACTGGAATTTCAAACAGAAGTCACTGCTGTCTTGGGATTAATGTGATTGTCAGTCACTTGGATTTTTAGTACCACTCTCTATTTCTGTTCTTGTGACAATTGAAATATCTGCACCACTCAAGCATTGAAAGCCTGAATCAGGCCACCAAATCATTACTTGATATTATCCCAGGTAACATTTTCGAAGAATTTTACATTTTCAGTTTTTTGCATACAACTTCGGTTACTACCTATCATTTCTTCACAATTAGATAAAGCTCAAATTTCTATATTTCTATATACATATATTTTACCTATTATATTAATAATTGCAAAAGTGTGCAAATTTTTACATGCTCTTGAGGACAGCGTTGAGTGTACGTGTATGGGCACCACCATGCATAGATAATCCACAAATTGGATAATAAACTCTATAATTGGAGTAAATTTAATAATCAAGATTACACTGTATCACTAATTTCACTGTTTTGCAGTTATTGTGAAAGCTTACCTTTCAGATATTCTGATTCTACAATTAACCCCTTAACTGGTTTGCCCGTACAGTGTACAGGCTACTGATCATTGGGCACATCTGGTTTGCCCGTACGGTGTACGTGCATCGATATTTCCCCCTTTCTTATTTTGATTTGCCCGTATTTTTAATATATTGAAAGAGAGGCTTTAGTATTAGAAGATTTCAATAGATGGCGTAGCTTTTCCATACTATTTAAAATCATTCTGCCAGTTTTTTTCTTTTGTTACCGGAAGTCGAAAATATTTTGCATTCTTGGTTCTTGAAAGTTTTGCTACACTTTTTTTTGGTTGTGAATTCAAAGCTCTTTAGTTATGGATGATACAATAGATGATGATACTCTATTGTTAGATGCTTTTGATGATTCGGATACAAATTCAGAACAGTCTTGTAATGTTCTGGATAATTCTTCAGATGACACGTGTAGTGAGATCAGCTCCAATGAAGACTTGACTTCTGCTAGAAATTTTATTGAAATTGATGTAGAAAACCTGCCTCTTCCGTGTCCCAGGTTCAATTTTACTGGTGTTCCAGCAGTAAATATACAAATTGATGATACTTCTGATGAACTACAATTTTATGAAGCGTTTATTGATTCTTCTTTGATGAATAAAATTGTGGAAGAAACAAACAGATATGCGACACAGTGCATCCAGTCAAGCACTGCAAAAAAATTCTCAAGAAGTAAATTTTGGGAACAAACAACTCAGGAAGAGATGCATATATTTTTTGCTCTGGTTATACTGCAAGGAATTATAAGGAGGCCCGCAGTTGATCAGTACTGGGATAAGAGACATTCCACGTACATGCCTTTTTTTCCCCAAATAATGACTCACCGTCGATTTCACCTTTTGCAACGATACTTACATTTTTCGGATAATTCAGCATTTGATGCACAAAGTCACGAATGACCAAAATTAGTGAAATTGTGGCCAGTTTTGAAACATCTGAATGAGAAGTTTCGCTCGACGGTGACACCACAATGTGATGTAATTATAGATGAAAGCCTTATGCTTTTCAAAGGAAGATTAGGGTGGAAGCAGTATATTCTCCTAAAAAGAGCAAGATTTGGAATAAAATGCTTCATGCTGTGCGAATCGATTTCTGGTTATGTATGCTCTGTAATAATATACACAGGCAAAAACACGATTCTGAAACCAGAGTTTTCAAATCTATGTATTTTGTCACAAGTTGTTATGACAATGATGCATCCGTTACTGCATAAAGGATATTGTCTTATGACGGATAACTATTATTCGTCGCCAGAATTAGCTGATAAATTAATTTCGTGTCGAACGGATACATATGGCACCCTGAATCTAAAGAGAAAAGAAGTCCCAAAGGAAATGCAAAAGAAAAAACTAAAAAAAGGAGAAATCAATGCATTTCAGAGAGGAAAAGTTACTGTTATGAAGTGGATGGACAAAAAGAATGTTTCATTATTGTCTACTATTCATAATACTGCAAAGGTAGAAATACAGGTCCGCTCTGAAACGAAACAGAAACCAAAAATTGTTATGGATTACAATAACACAATGGGAGGAGTAGACCGCATGGACCAAAATTTGAAAATTTTGAAGTCATTAGAAAGAGAGGGAAAAAAATATTATAGAAAAATTTTTTTCCACATTTTTGATATTGCCGTATGGAACTCATATGTCGTATATTGTAAAAAAGGTGGAAAGAAAACTCAGTTACAGTTCAGACTTGATCTTGTTGACAGTTATCGAGAAATACCATTCTGGGATGACTTGCAAATATGGACGACCTGGTTCTGAGCCTAATCCTTTGAGATTGACCGAGAGACACTTCATAGAAGTTATTGCTCCAACAGAGAAAAAACTTAGACCTGCCAGACAATACGTTGTATGCTGTTCCAGGAGGAATGAAAGTGGAAAGAGAATCAGAAAGGAAACACGGTATTTCTGTCCTGATTGTGATGTAGTCTGACAACATGTTTTAAATTGTATCACACAAAAAAGGACTACTCAACAATGGTATTAGAAGTATGAATTTTTAACGTATGGTAAGTTTTCTTTTAGATTTGCAGTTCGTGAGATCTGTATAATAAGTTTCACTGCATAAACTCCGTGATTACAAAAAGCCAACAAGTAGGGGCATTTGTGTTACAAAGTTATAAAATAAAAAAAAAATGCTTAAATTCATTATTTATCAAAATTTTTTAAAAATTTCTTTCATTTTCCTTTTATACTAAGTTAGGCCTTTAATTATATGCAATAAAAAATATGCTTTTTTTTGGAACATTTCTGGAAAAAAATTGACCAGTTAAGGGGTTAATCTAAACTTATGTTATTAATGACATAAAAATTAAAATATTACATTAATAATAATGGTGATATTATAGTCTCAAGATGTGTTTAGGTCAAGTCATTTGAATATGAGAAAGCACATGAAGGCTAGCTAAGGGTAAATATATCTTCATGGAAAGTATTTTATAATATTCTGGCAGTAATTCTTTCAAATAATCCTCTTTTGAAAAATTTATTACCACATAGCAATTTTTTATTTTTTTAATAATGGTTTTAATTCTCAGATTGTTTTATTTTCTGTCTCTGTGAGTATTTAAAAATAAAGAAATAAAACACTGATTGGTCATTTTTTTCATTTTCTTAAATCTGCTTGTTTCTCTCTGTCAAAGTATTTTTTTTTCAGCATTTGATGAACATTTCGTGCTAGCTGCAATCTTTTGCACTGCTCAGCCCCCATTTCTTAAAAGCTTTTATTCCTCTTAACACACAATTCCAAATAATTTGACACCAGAAATGCTTTAAAAAAGTTAGACTGAAAAATTACAAAACAAAATTTCTTTACTTTTAGAATTCTTGAATTATCTAAACCTCTACCAATTACACCCCATAATTTTTCCCGGCCACACAAATGCAATGAAATAAAAACATTAAAATGTGAGAAACATTGAAGGTTAGTTTCACCAGTTTTAATAAATAAGATTGCTAAATCATCAGCAATTCTGAAAGCAAGAAGCTAAAATCTTATTTAAAAAATAAAAGTTTGATATCTTACATTTTATACATTTGAGTTTTCATAATAATTGTAAAAAGACAGAGCATAAAAATTTAGTGAAGATAATTGTGAGAAACCAGTTGTGGAAGTGGGCACATACTTTTGCTGCAAATCTAATATAAGCATTAGCTGTAATTAGCCAAAATTTACCTACAAATGACCTCTTACTGATTTAACTAACAGAACTGGACTCGATTATTAAACTACAGCAAAGCCCATAAGTGCCCTTCAAGAGAATTTTGACTGAGAGTACCATGAAGTCTCACTCTCTTCTTCTACTACTACTAATCTCTCAGTAAGATTTGAATGTTTATGAATTAGGAATTAAAAAATTCTTGCCTTCAAGCTAAGAAAATATGAGAACTGAGAAATAATATTACCTTTAAATTTGAAATCACTTATACATATTTTTGACAGTCATTATGAAGTTTTTCCTTTTCTTCTTTTGATTTATTTTTATACATTACTGTATTTTCATTACCGTTTCTTCATATCTCTTATGTAATTAAACTCCCTTAAAGGGCATGCAATAATATGACTTTAACTATGTACTCTCTGAAGAATAAGATAAGAAATTTTAAAATACTGTATTTTTTCATTAGTAGGTTACTGTAAAACAAAGAAGAGTAAACAGAAGTTATTTTATCAATTAAATAAAAATATAACATTTTTGTTTCATCCTTAATCACATCAGTTTTTAGTTAACAATCTAATACACATATTTATCTAGCAAAATAAAATATAAAAGAATTTAGAAATAATTTTTTTCAAATTTTAAAATGCACACCTGATATATATTTTAAAACAAAGAAATACATAAAAGTCCAAATTGGAAATTAAAAAATTATATCAATAACATTAAGAGCAAATTTTAAATATTTTTATGATGTTAGGTTTTGGATGAACTTTCATTAATGAACTGTAAAAAATATAAAAATTCCATTAACATTATTCAAAATAACAAACATTAACTATATTTACCATATAAACAACATACTACTCACCATCAACAAAATCATTTAGCAAAGGTAATGAAAGTGATCCTGACCTTTCTTCATTTGCTTCATGAACTGTTTAAAAAACAGACTGATTTACAATCTCTATAATTTAATCTTCACAGATCTTTGTAAAAGTAGATAAAATAAACATATTTCATTGAAAACATGCAATCAAAATTAGGCCTTTTATTATCATCATGTAATAACAGTAAATATCAAAATATAGTCAACTTAAATTTTTAATAAATTAATGATGTTTCATTTCAGTGAAATAAAAAGTTCTAATTTCATTAATTATTTTAAAATTTAAAAAAAAATGATTAGGCATCCAAAATAACAAAAAGCATAACAACTATTTTTGAAGTGTAAACAGACTATACACTTATGTTTCTTTATAAATAATAATAACTTTTCATTAAATAATATTTTGGATAAAATTCATATTGGAAATGCTTATAAAAGTACACTCTTTTGCAAAAAAAATCAAAGCACCATGAAGGAAGTGGTTGTTTTTGATGAAACTGAATATGTGTATATAGCTCATACACAGATCAATAAAATGATTAAAAAATCAAGGTGCATCAGTACCTGTTCATGGCAATCACAATCACGATTGAGTGTTTCAAATTAGTAGTTGGTTGAGCCACCCCTGGCAGCCCTGCATGCTTGAATTCACCAAGGCAAGGAGTGGTAGAGGTTCCTAATGTCATCCTGCGACACAGTCTACCAGGCATTCATCACGTGTTGCTCCACATCTGCGATACTTTGTGGTGCCTGAATCTGGCAGCCTACCATGTCCCAGACATGCTTGATTGGTGAAAGGTCTGGTGAACTTGCTGGCTAAGGAAGAGTATCAACCGCTCGGAGACAGTCCAGAGATATGCGAGCAGTAGGTGGCCTGGCATTATCTTGTTGGAAAATGGCTCCAGGATAACGTGCCACGAAGAGTAATGCAACCGGCTGCAAGATGGTATCAACATATCATTCAGCTGTTAAAGATGTACGAAGGATGACTAAAGATGACCTGCTGTCATAAGAAACAGCGCCCCACACCATCACATCAGGGGTAATGGCTGTATGCCTTTGTAAACAAAGACTGATTGGGACTGCTGGGCTCATCCTCTCCAGACACAAACACAGTGGTGATCTGCTTCAGGAGTGAAGCGGGATTCATTGCTAAACACTATACGATACCAGTCTGATGGCAGCCATGATGACCAGCTGCGACACCACTCCAGATGACTCCGCCAATGTTGTGGGGTCAAAGGCAAACATCTTAAAAGGCCTCTGTGAGTGTAACCCCACATCAGACAAGCGCTGTAAGATGGTAGACAGTACCACAGGAGGTATAGACGTAGCTGTAGTGCGTTGAATAGTCGAAAATGATACTGCTGGGGAGGTTTGGACCTGGAGAACAATCCAACTATCTTGCCTCGAATTTGTGATCCTTGGCCTTCCAGAGCCTTCATTTCATTGGCAATTTCCTTGTAGCAACCATTGCTGCCAACACCTTCGCACAGCAGTGTCTGTACATTGCAGGTGGCGGCCCATTGCTCGGTATGTCCACCCAGCTTCATGCAACCTTACAATGTGACCATATTCGAAGTCGTTTAGTTGATTTTAAGGTCTTCGATATTGTTGTAATGACATCTTTAGTTGCTTCTTTACGGAATTAAATGGCAGCAACAACAACAACAACAAAAAAAAGATACATTTTCTGCCTGTTACCGATTTTATACTTTGCAAATTGCGCAATAGAAATGCATGCTATGATCGCAATTCCTGTTCATTTGCCTTAAAACTTTTATCATTTTCATGTTTGATCAAGATGTTTTGCCATATCAAATTTCATCACGATCGTAAAAGTCTTTCTTGGTGCTTTGATTCTTTTCAAAAGAGTGTATTTATTCTATGCTGTGTGTGGAGGGGAATATAACTAAAAGATTTTTTTGACCAAAAAGTAATTGATTTTTGGAATATTTCCTTACAGCAAAGCATACTAGAGATATCCCCTTATAGCCAAGGGATGCTTTCATGAACTTTATAAATGAGAAACTAAGCTACATTACTGAAAGATGAAATGTATCAAGTCATGACAATGTAAACATGCTTCCTTATTTCAAATTTATGATATTTTCAAGTTAAATTTCAACTGTTAATACTTAAAAACTAATTACATTTCCTTTTTAATTTTCCTTTCCGTTCATTAATAAAAATAATAAAACACAACTTTTATATAATTTATACCTCAAAATATAAAATGTATCTACAAAATTCAGTAATTGATACATTTATAAAAATAATCATTTAAAAAACCAAACGAAATTTTTAAGTACTGAAGTATTTGTGAGTATTTCACACACTAAGTTCTAAAACCTCAGAAGACAGCACACAACATCTTTGCATTGCTGTGCTCAGTTCATATATTTTTAACAGAATGCAGTAAAATATTAGGCTGTGTTATTTATAGCAACAAAGCACTCAAAGGCTGCCTTAGAATGGACATTTTCACAAAGGATTTTATATGAGAAGACATTAGTTCACTTATGCTAAATATGGGAGAAAGCAACCTATTTTATAAGAAGGAAATAAACTCAGGAATCTACAGTGAAAGCCTGACTATCTGGCATTCAACTGACCAAAAAGCTCAAGTAACCGGAAATTTATTATAATTTCATTTTTGTAAAACATCTCTTTGTACACTGCAAAAAAAAAAGGAGGGGAACAGTTCTATCTCTACCGTTCTACTCTGCCGACTGACGAAATTCAACTTGCATTTTTCATGTCTCGAAATTGTGACTTAGAATATATTATTAGATTTATGCATAGCATTGCTCTAATATAGGTATTTTGACACAAAATTCGGACCTTTTCTGAAATAACATACAATTTTTTTCAATATTTCAATCCTACGACTCAAATTACGTCAAACTACCAAGTTTTGTAAAAATCGCACAAATAGTTTTTAAAAAATTAGCTCCTCAATGTTAATCGAGTTTGGTATATATTTATTAATCTCCTTTTTTTTTGTTAAACTTATTTGATTCTTCCTTTTGAAATTCAAGTTCATTTCAAATAAAATTCACCCATTTTTTATGATTTATTTTTTAAATTTGTATTTTAAAATAATTTTTATAAATTTTTCAAACCATTTTGAATTATAATCTATAAAGTTTTTACCATCATCTTAAAGTAGAATACCTGCAAAAAATTACAGTTTTTTATTCGAAATTTCTGAAGACATACGTGAATTTACATACTGGCGCATTTTGAAATTTGGCATACTTGTTGATAGCGATAAGACATCAACGGTGGTTTAGACACTTTGCTAAAATTATTTGAAAGTAGGAACACTATGACTTTTTTCCGCTCATGCACCATTTAAAAAGGTAGGAACGAGGTGCTATTTTTTCCACGCCAGCATAATGGAAGGGAAAGGAAAATTGGTTGCCATATATTAAGAAGTTTGCCAAGTGAATTATTTTTGGCACAAAGTAAAAAAATTGCATCAAGATAAATTTTTGAATTTCTCCATAAATTCGCACCAAATTTTAGAAAATTTAATATTTAAGCGTTATTTGAGTCGTAGGATCAAAATATGGAAAAAAAATGGTATGTTATTTCAGAAAAAGCCCGATTTTTGTGTCAAAATACCTATGTTAGAACAGTGCTATATATAAATCTAATATATATCTTAAGTTGCGCTTTCGAGACATGAAAAATGCAATTTCAATTTTGTCAATCGACCCAGTAGAACAGGAGATATAGAACTGTCCCACTTTGGGGGAGATGGCAGTGTACCTTGTTTATTTTTCAGATTCAAAGTCTTGTATAATAAGTTGCCAAAATGGAACTTTATAATATGACAGCGAAAAATAAAAATGTTTTATTTTAATGTTATTTTAAAAATATAATTTCAACATATTACCATTATTTTAATGAAATTTATCAATGTTACAATGTATAAAAAAAATCGTCGAAAAATTCCCAGATCTCGGAGTTAGAAATTTCTTATAGAAACTGATCTTAAAATTGCCAAAATGTTGATGAGTCATTAAATTTAGAACCGTTTAATGAAAGAATTCACATCCCAAAAAGCGAAAAGTTGTTTAAGAGCTCTTCATTAGACAAAATGAATTCTGAAATGCTTATGTTTCATTTCTTGCTTAGAAACTCGAGTATCCCACCATTTATTTTAGAAATAGGAACAAATTATAACCCATTTAAAAGATAGCCATATATATCAGTTAATTGCCAAAAATATTCCTCTAATATGCTCAAAATGGTAGTCGTAGAAACAGACAGAAATTTCAGATGATTAAAATTAAGGACCTTCTGCCGATTTTGGCCAAAATTAAGGACTTTTAAGGGCCAAAAATCGATTCCAAAAACCTATGGATTTTTAAGGACTCTTAAGGGCTGTATAAACTCTGGTTAAGTGATCAAAAAGGCCCATACAGGACTCTTGAATTCCTGTTGATAGCTTCTAAAATGTGAATGAATTGCATGGCTCTCTTTCAGAAGATAATAACTCCTCTTGTCATTCATTCATCTAGTTGTTCCAAGAATCCATCCTTGGAATAGGGTAGATCTCATACTATGACTCTGAAGGAGCTTCTAATGAGAACTACTATAAGAACTCTTTGTTACTATGGTATTGGGATACATGAGAGATTTCAAGGTTAAATATAAGCTTTTAGTTTGTCTACCACAAATATTCTACTCCCCATTATGTTTAACTGTGAGGAGGATGACTAGAATAATAAGCCTTCTCTATTCTATTAAATGGATTTGCAGCAAAAGTCTTATAATTATTTAAAAAATTTGGTATTTAATGTATTTTCCTGTCAAACACAACACAATCATAAGATCTTAACTTTATGTAAACCACATGAATTCTTGATAAGCCAGTTTAGTTTCTGTAAAGAAAATATAAGTCAAATGTTATTTGTCTGCTTACCCCACATTCTAAAAAAATGGTTAAAATTTGGGATCCCCCATCTATACAAAAACATGAAGTATTTTCATTGTTACAGGAAGAAAAATGTGTTTTAATGGGAACAATATATGACTTTATTTGAAAATGAATATACAATGGCAATGTAATTATAATACCTGATTTTAAGTTTTTTATATGCTATATTCATAACTTGAATCTTACGATTCTAATTAAATAAAGAATGATCTTTTTCATTTAAGCTTCTACCAAAATGGCTGGTGCATGTTTAGCAGCACCTCCACCAACTTTCATGATTGACTGTATATTATAATCAGATACGATTTTTTAATTTTTTATGTTGAAGGTCGACAAAATGAAATAATTTCTTTTTCAGAATCTTACATAATTTTAAATGTAGGCTTTAGACACTGAAACTAATTACAAAGAAGATGACTATTTTTATAATTTTAGACTGAAACTTTCTCCATTCATATGGCTTTTCTAATGCGAACTGCATTTTGTACACATTCAACTATCTGGACATTTCATGCATTCAGAATTTTGCAATTCCTGACATTCCATATAGTTGAGCTTTTACTGTATTTAAACATTGCCACCCCTACACAAAAGCGAAAGGTTTACTGAAATAATGTATCACGTGAAATAAAATATTGCATACATTAATTTTTTTTTCTCTGAAAGTTTAAGAAGCATTCTACAAATATGTGTTCAGTAGGATCCTCAATGCAATGAACAGAACATCAACCAATATGGGGGGAGGGACTCTGAGTAAGTTATTAGTTTAAAAAAAATATCCAGACATATTAACTTTCAAATTATCATTCATCTTTTAATAATCTTTGAGCAGACAGAAGTAAATGAAATATTGACCATTTAAGCAGTGTTTGCACTCATTAATGTATGTAATACTTTTAGTATACTACACTAGCATGGAAACAACAAAGAATAAATTTTAAAAAAAAATCAGATAAAATAAAAAATGATTGATATAAATATTGTTACCAAAATAAAGACCTCTTTCCTTCATGTAACATTCTAAGAGATATTTCACTTGAGGTTTCTGAAAAAAATTACCATAATTATTTCCATGAAATACTTAACATAATTATTTATAGAAAACAGTTTAACAATCAACAAATACACAAACAAAAACAGAAGAAAGTTAGAAATATTATGACTTAATGAAAAAAGATAACATTATTTTTTGGCATTTTTCTGTTAAAATATACTCATTTTCGGCAGCATATAGGTGCATATTGGCTTATTCTTTGGGCATACTGGCTTTCTCATTGGGTTCATACCAGATGAAGAAGAATTATCAGGAAGAGCAAGAAAGAAGCATATACAATTTTACAACAAAATTCTCCAAAAACACATTGTGGTAGAAGAACACAGCCTACATTATTCTTTTACTTTACTATTCTTCATAATCTTTGATCAATTTCCAGAATTTTGCAACATTCTAATGATCTTAACATTAGGATAAAACAACAAGGAATTGACACATATCTCTCTTATGGAATTACTTCAATTACCTATTGCGTTGCAATTAATTTAAAGCAAGCTTTGGTTCACAAAACTCCACACAGGATGTTTATAAATGAATGGTGTGATTTTAAAAATTAATAATAAATTAATGTATTATTTTATATGGGCAAATCTTACAGCATAAGCAGTGGCAGCTGTTCAAGGTTTTGATGCATTAATCACAAGCCTTCAATATGTAATCCCTTGGTCAGACGACACACATTAACACGATAATCTAATTCTTCCCATACTCAGTTTAGGATGTTTGCTGTAATGGTCTGCAGTGCAAGCTTTATCAGACCACAAACTTCCTCAGGGGATCAGTGCCAGTTTAAGCTAATTTCGGGTCCTGGGTGCAGAAGATCTACGGGTCCCCTTGGAACTGGCAGATCCAAGGAGGGGCTCTTAGATTTGCTAACAAATGAAAGAAAATTTTAATGTTTAATTTTTATTGTAAAAACATATATACATAAAAAAATAAAAACATTATTCTTATAAAAAAATGAGTTGGATCCAGCTTATCTGGAATCCAGGCCCCTAGGCACCCGCCCCAAGCGCCCAATGGATAAACCTGCACTGCAAAGGATGCAGGCATTGGTGGTACATAAACTTGGTCTTAAATTCCAGGACTGGGGCTAATACAATGGAATGAATAATAAAAAATAAACATACGTTTAATAGTCTTCAAAATAATCACCTCTGGCAGTCACACATTTTTGTGCACGGCGGTACAAATTCTGGAAACACGCTTCGTAGTATTCTGAAGATATGCTTCAAAATTGAGTGATTACATTTTTCTGTATGCCCTCTATGTCCTGAAATTGACACCCTTTCAGAGCAGTCTTAAGTTTTGGGAACAAGTAAAAGTCAGGAGGCTACAAATCAGGAGAACACAGAGGATGATTAACATCTATGATGCCATGTTTTGTCAAGAAGCACTTCTTATTAGAGAGCACACTCTTTGCTCCATCACTGACCGTGACACATGCCGTAATGAACCACCTGCGTTTACCTTCTTCAAGCTGTGCTAACGCAATCACTGCACATTTGTTAAACCTTAGCATTTCATTTGTTACACTACCACATCCCCATGATAACATGTTCCTACACATTTTTATTCATTAACTACCCATACAGTCCTGGAATTTAATAGACACATCTTGTACTTAAATTGAGAATAGCACTTTGATTTTATAATACTCATCAATGAAGCCTATTGTATATGATTTTATCCTATATACTCTACTTTTTAAATGAGAAATGATAATAATTCAAATGAAATGAATGCCATGCTTTATGATAATTTTAAGTATGGTTTTGAGATCCTTATACAAAATGGCATATATAAATTAAATTAGCTATTCAATGAAATCAAGATAAATTTCATAAGCATATAGGCCAAGACCTAGCTCAGTGGTCTTCAGTTAACATGAAAAACAGATAGTAAATATGAAAATAACTAAATAAATATATGACCAGTGTAAGGTATGAAAATTTTGTACAATTAAAGCCATATCATGAATTTTTGGTGCCATATTTATGCATTTTGGCTCATCTTTTCCCAAGCCTTTGGCTTGATACTAAGTGAAACAGAAAAATCAAGAAGATATATTAAAAAAAAATCTACAGAAACCTACCATGATAAAAGAATATGTTAGATTGTCTTTTGTGGAAAAGTTTTGGTACTCACATGTTATTCTATTGACTGTGAAAGCCGGCAGAGATCCTGCTAAAATTGAGCCAATTGTTCCTGCAGAATTCTGAGATAAATGCAGTATTTGACCCTTATCATAAAAGGCTTTTGCTGATTTTTACTATTATGTTATGCACTCCAATTTTACAGGAAACTATGTTTAGAATAATATGCTTACAAACTTCAATTATGTAGCTGTTCTAGCTGATTAGTGTTTTGTTGATAATATTCAGCAGCATTAATACACATAATTTTTATAGCAGGATCCCATACCTTTGAAAATACTCCACTTCTTACTATAAAAGGCAAGTTCCAAGGTGTAGTCTCTCTTTTTTTTTTTTTTTTTTTTTTTTTTTTTTTCAAACTGCAAGAAAAAATACAGCAATAGCAATCAAGTTATGTCTTTGTCCATAAGAAAACATGGCTTATCAAGATTCAGTTGGGATTCATCAAATGAAAGTACAGATGTTATGAATGTATTTTTATGTCACACTTATCCATAATTGGCACTAAACCACACTGCTTGGTAAAAGTTTCATGGTCGACGGGATAATATGTAACCACCAAAGCTTTCATTAATTTACACAATTTTATAGCATTGGTTTATTTTAATATTAGAAAAAGATAGCTAGGAATTGGCAAATACTTCACTTATGTAATTATTCAATCTGTGATTGTGTTGTCATTTATTTGAAGCAAAATTTGGCTTATCAAACTCAACAGACATTAATTCCTGACCTCATAAACAAGTAAATCACATGGCAAGAATGTGAACACAAATAACAAAAAGAACACATGATTCAAAAACCACATTTGTATTCAGACATTCATCCTGATATGAACAAAGGCTGCACAGCCATTTTGATTTCAAATCATATTTGAATTTCATTGCAGTTATTGTAGTGGGCACTTTGGTTATTCAAGTACATCCATGTCTTAGCAAATCACAAGACATAAATATTCATTGAAGTAAAAAAATGCAAGTGGGAACTGATGAAGTCCTGCTAGCAATAATCATAAAGAAAACCAGGAGAGAAGCTAAACCAAACTGTGACACCTAGTGCCGAGGAAATACACTAAACAACAAACAAAAGTACCAAATGTCATGGTTTAAATGGAAAAGTACTGAAAATTTTAACAAAGGGCTCACACTTTACTATTATAAAAACAAAGTATCAGATTTGGATGATCATGTTTTAGTTCACATGTGGAGAAATTGAAAACATCAAACTTGATAATATTTAACAGATCAGAATTATACCTATTACAGTCAAAAGTCGTTAATTTGGACACCCATAATCCAGACCTCAAAGCTTGCGCGTAAGACCTTTATGGCTGCATGTGCACATGCGCATAATACGTTTACGCATGCATGTTTAATGTATAACAGACGGTATAAGCTAAAATTCTCTAATTATCTATTTCAGTTAATGTTGCAGATTGTGTTGTTACTTAATCTTCGAATTGGATCTGGCTTATTATTTTTTTCAGACCGTTAGAGCAATTTTATAAAAGTAAGCTTGAACTTTCGATTATGTCAAATAGAATTTCCGATGCTGGAGCTCCCAAAAAATCTACAAAGCAAAAGTATGTTTCGATGTCCATCAAACAAAAAGTCGAATTGCTGCAAAAAATGGATAAAGGGATATCCTGTGTTTCTCTAACCATTCCAAAATATGTTTATCAATTTCACGCTGCTCTGCGGAAGGGGGGGGGACGCGGCGCTCAATGAACTGGAAGTTGATCTGTCAGCATTATCCTTATCTTCAGGGCAGATGTCTTTATTTCATTTGGCTTATAATTCCTTAATAAATGTAGTATTTCATCTTGATGTACTCCGTCTTTAATATGATTAAAATCAAATTCCTTGTCATTATAATTCGCTTCCAATTGTGAAGAAAGTGACACAGAGGTTATTGAAAACGAAAACATTTCGATTGACAAGTTAGTCGGTATTCTCGGCACAGTAATTAACGGGACTTGAACAGCGAGACTTTGTAACTGAACAAGAAATTATGTCTGTTTATAGAATTAAAGAGAAAGTATTATCACATAAAACGAAGCAACTTAAACAACTTACATTGAAAGAAATGTTTAATAAAGTAACACATAAATATTAAGCTTTTTTTTTTTTTTGTAAACTTTGATACCCTTTACATCATAATTGTTCTTTATTTCATAAATTACGGTTTCATATTTTTAATTTTATAATTTCTGCATGCCATTTTACCAGATTTAAACTGATGATCTATAATCCAGAAAAAATCGATAATCCGGAATCGCCGAAGTCCCGACGAGTCCAGATTATCGACTTTTGACTGTATTATATTTTTATACAAAAGGAGTAATGACAGCTGCTCAAATAAAAACTGAACTGCTTTCTTTTTATGTTCAGGAGCATATTTTTCTAATTCACGGAGAAGACCATGAGTTACGAATAATAAATTTTCAAAGCTGTTTTCATTATGATAACCTTTAATTTCTGCAACTTCTTTAAGCAATGAACAGAGATTACGCACATTCATTCATTTTAAATTGGAATTCATGGTTACTAATTTTTGTTAATGAAATATCTAAAATATGCTTTTACTTGCAGATCATCATGGATAACGACTGATGCAGAAATAAAAGGAACAGATTTTGTGCTTGTCTAGTGAAAAAATATATTATTTTCTTTAATCACACCTGTTAAATCATAAGATATCTTAAAATTTTTTAGACATGATGAAAGCTCACTCAGATTATAACAGTATTTCTTTTCATGTACTTGCTACGCTGCTATGGTTTTAGATATTGCTGCTTCAAGTTGCTCATTTTCCCTTCTCTCTTTTTTCTTCAACAGCTGTTCACCAAATGATTTTGTTAAAGACAAATATTTAGGGTAAGCACTGAAAATTCAGGGAACAGGATTTTTTTTCAATCGTACTTGTTTTAATGGAACTTGTATTTTCTTCCCTGTCTTTTGTCATCTCATAGTATTCAAAAGCACGCTGAAAATCTTTCTTATGGAAATGTAATTCACAGGCCTAAATAATGCAAATGTAAACATAGGCCTAATTACTAATTTTAAAGTGTGATTTCTTGTAATGCAATTTATTTTTGAACAAAACAGGTAATGGCAAGCATATGTGTGTTTATCTCCTCGGGAGAGAGAGAAAAGGATTCTTAGCTACATAAGTTTTACTAATATTTGAATTTTCATGCATTAGAAATTTAATTTATTTCTTATTTTATGCAAAACTGTGTACTTTATATCACAATTAAAAAAACATAAGCATATTTATTGCCTTCACAGTTTCTTTCCAAAAAACTTCTAACCCAAAAATATATTAAATATTAAGTTAAATACGTTCTGTCATACACGTATGAAGTTAAACGTTCCAAGTGAAATATTAGAGATTTTAAAAAGTGAATATTTAGCACATAATTCGATACATAATTATTAACCATATAATTCAATACATAATTATTAACCATACAATTCGATACATAATTATACTGTCGGGACTTCGGCGATTCCGGATTATCGATTTTTCGGGATTATAGATCATCAGTTTAAATCTCGTAAGATGGCATGCAGAAATTCTAAAATTAAAAATATGAAACCGTAATTTATGAAATAAAGAACAATTATGATCTAAAGGGTATCAAAATTTACAAAAAAAAAAAAAAAAAGCTTAATATTTATTTGTTTACTTTATTAAACATTTTTTTCAATCTAAGTTGTTTAAGTTGCTTCGTTTTATGTGATAATACTTTCTCTTTAATTCTATAAACAGACATAATTTCTTGTTCAGTTACAAAGTCTCGCTGTTCAAGTCCCGTTAATTGCTGTGCCGAGAATACCAACTAACTTGTCAATCGAAATGTTTTCGTTTTCACTAACCTCTCTGTCACATTCTTCATGTCTTTATCCATTTTTTGCAGCAATTCCACTTTTTGTTTGTTGGAAAGTTCCAGCATCGGAAATTCTATTTGACATAATCGAAAGTTCAAGTTTACTTTTATAAAATTGCTCTTACAGTCTGCAAAAAATAATAAGCGGAAAACAGTGTTCGTGAATTTTTGGATCCCATGGCCGTAACTAAAGTGAATTCGAAATGGGTATTTAGTGGTATTAAAAAGGGTAGTAATAAATGTTTCTTTAAGGTTGTGCGAGATCTTCAGGTAAGTTAGTATTTTTAATTATTTGGGGATATTATTTTTATGCATTGTTCTAAATGTAAGGTGGAAGTAAAGGAATTTGGTATTATTGGGAAAATTGTTATTAGCAATGATTTAGTTTAAAGTAATTAGGATTGTAAGGTAATTTTTATTAATTTAATGTATGTGCTCATTTATATTTTAAGTAGTGTTTTTGAATTTAATTATATTTTAATTAAATGATAGTTATTTTTGTGAATTTTATGTTTGTAGGAATTTGGTATACGTTTAAGTTGAAGTAAACGTACATGGAAATAATTTAAATATTTGATACTAAGTATTTGTAATGCTTGCGGTATGAATTCGTTGGTGACGTGTATAATGTAATAGATGATTTAGAGGTAAATGTTTTTGGATATTTTATTTATTTTATATGTGAAAATGTTCATATTTGAAAAGGGTAAATACTTTTTCGCGATCAGGTAATTTCATATATGTTCTTTTTACCGGGTTTAAAGATTGAGAAAATTGTCATGTATTTTTGTGAAATTTTTTTAATTTATGAGAAAAAAGCAGTGTACATGGATATAGTGAAGAGTGTGCGCAATGCCATTTTTGTGCAATTCTGGGATGTTTTTTTAGGTAAAAATAAGTCGACGTGTACATGGTTTAGTGATATTTTAATTAAATGATAGTTATTTTGTGAATTTTATGTTTGTAGGAATTTGGTATACGTTTAAGTTGAAGTAAACGTGCATGGAAATAATTTAAATATTTGACACTAAGTATTTGTAATGCTTGCGGTATGAATTCATTGGTGACGTGTATAATGTAATAGATGATTTAGAGGTAAAAGTTTTTGGATATTTTATTTATTTTATATGTGGAAATGTTCATATTTGGAAAGGGTGAATACTTTTTCGCGATCAGGTAATTTCATATATGTTCTTTTTACCGGGTTTAAAGATTTGAGAAAATTGTCATGTATTTTCGTGAAATTTTTCTAATTTATGAGAAAAAAGCAGTGTACATGGATATAGTGAAGAGTGTGCGCAATGCCATTTTTGTGCAATTCTGGGATGTTTTTTTAAGTAAAAATAAGTCGGCGTGTACATGGTTTATGTGTATTGTGATATTTTTGAAAAACGCGTAAGGAGTATGGTATTGTGGCACTTTTTCCCAATTTTGCAGTGAATATTTGTCATGATTAAGCAGTTTGTTAGATAAAATTTCTAGCATAAGTGTAATTCGGCGAGTAGATTGTTGGAAGAAGTGTTTAGTAGATAAAAAGAAAAGAAACATGTCTTTACTTCGTGAAGAAAAAATGGCGGCGGGGAAAAAAAAATAGAGGGTTGCTGTAGGAGAGTTGGTCGCCAAATTTTCGCCAAAAAAACGCCAAGTTACCATAATGTAAAGATCAACTAAAATTTCTTTTAAACATTTACTCTTTTCAAAAACGAGGTGGAAATGATCAAAATCAAAACTATTTAAATGTAATTCTTTCTAAATATCAAAATGATTACAGAATATATATACTTGGGAAGTAATACAGAAAAACTGTATTTTCATAGTATTTAAAAAACTAAATGCAGATCATAACTAATAACAAATTAAATAATAACAACAATTCAAAATTTTTCCTTTTTTTGCAAAATATGACTAGAAAGCATCAGAACTATAATCTATAACGATATACAAATATGATATATATGTTAAATAGCATAAAAATTTGAAGAAAGTTATAACTTTTGAAATGTCTCTTACCATTGTCGCACATAATGATGCTCCAAAAAGAATGAAATACGTTATTTTTTGAAATTAAAAATTTTAAATGATAAATGAAGCACATTACTTTCATTTTCATATACAAATGACCGAAAGTTTAGATAAGATTAAACAGGAAATGATTGCGACAATAGACATCAATACAAAATTTTAAAGATAAGATGCCTTATGAAGATCCAGCATGCAGAATCTAAACAGTAAAATATTCGTAACACTTAACAGTAAAATATTCGCAAACTCAGCAAATTTCAAACTTCATTTTCATATAAAATTATCAATAATTATCCTTCAAAAATATCCAATGATGTATTTTTTTAGCTAATAAATGTTATCCCACGCTCACCCTTGTAATTTGACATTGACTACGACCGCGTAATTTAAAAAAAAACTGTGTGTACGTCTTATGCAATACAAGGCATGTTTTGCATCGTGAAATATTGCATATTTTTGGTCCTAAGATTTCGTGAACAATCCTGAGCAAAGCTTTGCTTTTATGTTAAACTAGTATGTTAGGATTTTGTGTATGAGATTTACCATACACGGCTTTTGCAATGGACATATAGCTAATAACTATGACCGCCTAATTTGAAAGAACTGAAACTATGAATATGCAATACAGATCGCTTATTACTAGTTTACGGTATGTTAAATGAAATTTATTTTAAATGGTCATTATCAGTGGAGATCATTTTGATAATCGATTATGTACTTTGTAGAATGAAGTGATTATTGGTTTGAGTAAAATTTGAATGACTAATTTCTCGTTTGTGTCTTTAAAAATTGCCTTTCTAAATTGACAGATGTCAACATTATTTAATATTAAAGCTTTCAGAAATGAAACTATCAGAATAGTGATTCAAATATGCTCTGAAAAATGTTAGGTGAAAGAAACGCATGCACTGCAGACTTAATTAATTTAATAAAATTTGCTTTTCATCGTTTATAATTGCATTAGCAGAGAATAAAATAAGGGAGAACAATTTCAGGATGCATGAAACTTTTTTAAATTGAATCTAGAATTTCAGATTTTTTTGTATTTACTGTTATGTTTCTCTTATATATTTATTGTTACATTTTGCTTATATTTATTCAGAAAAATCTGAAATTAAAATTTATTTAAAAATTTTAAATATTTTTGGCTTATTTGATTTATTCTTTCATAATAGTAATAATTTGCCTAGAGCTTTAAGTTAAATTCAAGACTTTTCTCCAGCTCATGTAAATCCCTTATAAAGCAAGCATGCATCCTCACAAATTAAAAATTATTGTGCTTCCTGATTATCAGCTTCAACTTGCTGACTCCCAAGAAGTCAGCAAGTTGCTGGCAGCTAATTTTTTGCTAATCTAATATGTGAAAGGCAATAGCCATTTCTTAACTGGCAATTCACTAAGAATTCCATAAAAGAGAAATTAACCAGTAAACTTTAAGAAAAGCTTAAAACATGCGTAATGATAATGATAAAACACTTAGCTTAGCTTTATCACACATGATAAAACACTTAGCTTATTCAAGATATTTGTATGTAATTTTTTTGCATTGTTCTTTCCATGAACATTGTGATATGCTTTCACGTTGAAAAAGTATCAAAGAATTGCACAAATTTGGCATTGCTCATGTTGTTTTTCTTCCCATGTACACAGCAACCTACTTAAAAAAACATAAGTTAAATGCACAAACTTAACATTGCACACTGAACCATAGAAGTAATTATAACAATCTATGGTTGTAATTGGGAATAATTCCATGGTCTTACGCTTCATTGCTGAATGATGTATATTCTTTTATTCAACAATAAATAGAGCAAATAGCTGTTGTAAATGAGATACAGCTATCTTCAAACCAATTTCCAATCTACGTTCTAATATTTCGGTTACAGTCAAAAGTCTTTAATCCTGACACGTTGGGACTTCGGTGATTCCGGATTATCAGTTTTTCCCGATTATAGATCATCAGTTTAAATGTGGTAAGATGGTATGCAGAAATTATAAAATTAAAAATATGAAACCATAATTTATGAAATAAAGAGCTATTATGATCAAAGGGTATCAAAATTTACAAAAAAAAAGCTTAATATTTATTTGTATTTTGTTTTTACAGTTTTCACATTATATTTCCATAGTATCTGATCACTTATAAGGGTAAAAATATATTTCAGGTATTGGTAAAATCCTAGTATACGGTGCAGCCTTGGCGCGATTTTGAAAATTATCGCCAACACCAAAAATGATTCAACGTCTATATATATATATACTATATACACTATATACATAGTACAGTCAAAAGTCGTTAATTCGGACACCCATAATCCGGAATAATCTATAATCCGGACTTCAAAGCTACAAACTTTCTGCGCATGCGTCGCGTTGACCTTTACCTTTACGGCTGCGAATATGCATGTGCGCGTGCGCAAAATACGTTTACGAATGCGTGTTTAATGTGTAACGGATGGTATAAGCTAAACTAAAATTATCTAATTCATTAATGTTGCAAATTGCATTGTTCCTTAATATTCAAATTGGGTTCGGCTTATTATTTTTTGCAGACTGTTAGAGCAATTTTATAAAAGTAAACTTGAACTTTCGATTATGTCAAATAGAATTTCTGATATATATTTACTAATATGTAAAGGATCTACAAAGCGAAAGTATGTTTCGCTGTGCGTTAAACAAAAAGTGGAATTGCTGCAAAAAATGGATAAAGGCATATCCTTTGTTTATCTAAACTTTAATGTTTGTTTATCTTTAATGCTGCGGCGCGCAATGAATTGGAAGTTGATCTGTCAGCACTATCCTTATCTTCAGGGCAGATGTTTTTATTTTATTTGGCTTATAATTCCTTACTAAATGTAGTATTTCATCTCGATGTACTCCGTCTTTTATATGATTTAAATCAAATCCCTCGTCACTATAATTCGCTTCCGATAACGAAGAAAGTGACAGAGGTTATTGAAAACAAAAAAATTTCGATTGACAAATTAGTCGGTATTCTCGACACAGCAATTATGGGACTTGAACAGCGGAACTTTGTAACTGAACAAGAAAATTATGTCTATTTATAGAATTAAAGAGAATGTATTATCACTTAAAAAACGAAGCAACTTAAACAACTTACATTGAAAGAAATGTTTAATAAAGTAAACAAATAAATATTAAGCTTTTTGTAAATTTTGATATCCTTTAGATCATAACTGTTCTTTATTTCATAAATTACGGTTTCATATTTTTTATTTTATAATTTCTGCATGCCATCTTACCAGATTTAAACTGATGATCTATAATCTGGAAAAATCGATAATCCGGAATCGCCGAAGTCCCGACGAGTCCGGATTAACGACTTTTGACTGTATATAGTATGTATAACTATATATATTCTTTGAATGACCCGTTTACTACTCATTGTGTATGTCGCGTTTTTACTGCTCATCGTAAAATCGCCAAAAGTAGCCAAATCCTGTGTGCACCGGATACTAGGATTAAACCCAGGTATTTTTTGGTGTCATTCCTGTTTACGTCCAACGCCCTCCCCAGTAAAATGGCATCCAAAACATAATGCAATGAAATATAATTTTAAAAAATACATAATCTCAATAAATTGCTTTTTAAATCAAATAAGGAAATAACACAAGAATGGAAATAGATGTTATCTAATCTATGGAGTACAGAAAGGAAATACAGTCAAAAGTCTTTAATCCTGACACGTTGGGACTTCGGTGATTCCGGATTATCATTTTTTCCCGATTATAGATCATCAGTTTAAATGTGGTAAGATGGTATGCAGAAATTATAAAATTAAAAATATGAAACCATAATTTATGAAATAAAGAGCTATTATGATCAAAGGGTATCAAAATTTACAAAAAAAAAGCTTAATATTTATTTGTTTACTTTATTAAACATTTCTTTCAATGCGCGCATGCATAAAGCATACATTGTGCATAGTCGAAATTAGAAAATTGCAACCAGAAAACTATTTGATGTGTATTTGTGATATTTATAATGACGAGGAATTTGATTTAAATCATATCAAAGTACATCGAGATGAAATACTACATTTAGTAAGAAATTATAAGCCTAATAAAATAAAAAGATCTGCCCTGAAGATAAGGATAGATCAACTTCCAGTTCATTGCACGCCACAATGCCCCCCTCCCTGCCTGCAGAGCAGCGTGAAATTGATAAACAGATTTCGGAATGGTTAGAGAAACAAAGAATATGCCTTTATCCATTTTTTGCTGGAATTTCACTTTTTGTTTGATGGACATCAAAACATGCTTTCGCTTTGTAGATCCTTTGGCAGCACCAAAATAGGAAATTCTATTTGACATAATCGAAAATTCAAGCTTTTATAAATTTGCTCTAACAGTCTGCAAAAAACAATAAGCCGGATCCAATTAGAAGATTAAGGAACAACGCAATCTGCAACATTAACTGAAGTGGATAATTAGATAATTTTTGCTTAGCTTATACCATCCGTTATACAATTAATGCACATGTGTAAACATATTATGCGCATGCGTAAAGGTATTATGTGCATGTGTAGGTGCATTATGTGTTTGTGTATGTGCAGAAAGTTTGTAGCTTTGAGGTCCGAATTATGGACGTCCGGATTAAAGACTTTTGACTGAATCCACTTACCTTATTTAAAAATTTCTGTTTCTTTGATATTTGTGACACACTGAATTCCTTAACAGCATACAAAAACTATTTAAAATTATCTAAACTAGAATTTATACTGCCATCACCACATAAATTCACAAAAGTAAAAATGAAAAATATCCTCCATATTGCCGGACTGTTGGTGGCATTTTGTTCAAATCCCTTTTTATTACACCCTACGTACCTTCAATAGTGTTGATATGAGTTCTAGTTTCCAAATGCTTAAATCTCACTGTGCTGCTTACCGAGAAGTGAACGTAGCTATTTAAATCTTCATTTACACACCAATCAGTCAATCAATGCTTTCTAGCCCATTCGTTCTAAAGCATACAGAAACTTCAGGTTAATCATACCACCAGCAGGCATTTTATGGTGTAAAGCACAAAATAAGCAACGTACTTCCTAATCAACATCCAACGCATAAATAAGCCCTTACAAATATTTTCCCAACAGTCTAAATCACCGCAATCATACATTACAACCAATCACATCATAATATGGTTTCCATAACATTCAACGTAAAATACTAAGGTTACCATAAATGAAACAACAACTTGGCAGTAATCCAATGGGTACTCTAAAATATAGACTAACTCTCTTAAGACGTACAACTTCACAGACTGCACATTTTTGCATTCTGAACTGTTGGACAAAACACCATAATTCGAAGAAATGCAGT